TGATAATTGATAAAATGACAAATGATAAATGGTGAAAATTCGAGAAATGATAAAAAAAGTTCCACATCAACAAATTATTATCAACATCGAATTCTATGAAATGACGCTGATTGTACTACTCCAAGAAAAGAGTAGAGCGTTTATCCTTTTATAATATTTTGCTAGGAAAAGTGCAAATATCCCTCATCCGAGTTCCAATAATTAATCAAACAGTCGTATTCAAAACAGTTTTACAGTTTTCCTACAAACAAAGTTTTTTTAACAAGCAGCAAATAAGCAAAAATTATTTAAAATTGTTTAAATTATAATTTTTTATAATAATAATATTTATAATAATAATGAAATATTTTATAATAATATAATATTTTTTATAATAATTTTTTGATTTTTCAGAAAATTTATGTGATTTCTAAATTACCAAATATTGTTTATTTGGTTTTTAACAAATTAAACAAAAAAATTGAAAATTTTCATAATTTTGTAGTTTAAAATTTATATTTTCAAAATAAAAATTAAAATTTTAAATTAGAATTTTAAAATTTTCAAAATCATTTGGCAAATACATATTTTTTTTAGGTGAATTCGCACAGTAGAATAGCGACCATGAACAATGTATATTTTACGAATGTGAAGGAAATTCAAGGAAGAAATTCTATTTTTGAATTCAATTTCTTTTAAGATCATTGGAAAAATTATTGCGGTGCTTAATATTTATTGATTGTGGGTGACTTGGAAGTGTTTTAATTTCACTAGAAGGTTTTATTTTGAATAAATTTCATAAAATTCAGATCTGTTTTGTTTTTATGGTGAAAAGCTTTCATTTATCAATCGCATTTACTTTGTCCTTTTTTGTGATATAAAAAAGTGTAAATAATTTTTAGTCAAATTCGCATTGGTCACGAAAAGCTGTATCATATTCGTGCCATATTTTGTAGAACATAAATTAATTATCACCACTTCTACTGCGGAAGATTTAAATTGAGGAAGATTTAAATTTTTAACATAATTCCACGGAATAAATATATAAAAATATATTTCATTATAGTTTCTGGAATTTTAAATTTTATTTTTCCAGCTTAAAAAAATATTTCAGAAAATCGGATTTAAAATTACCTATGAAAAATTAATAAATTAACGATTAAAAAAGACCGTTGTTTATTTTCGCTTGCTGCTGTGGTGCGAGCTTAATTTCACCAATATAAATCGCAATTACAAACTAGTCGAGTTTTTTTTGAACAAGCAGTTTTTCCAAGGAGTACGGCTAAACCTATGCCATGAAAGGTCAGATATTCTTATGCACTTGTAATTCTAAATTGCTTATAATATAACGAAATTTATCTGGCTAGCTATTTGTCAAGCATAGCGCTCATTGGAAACTGAGCAAACGGATCACTTGCCCAGATTTCTTAATTGGGTAAAAATTCAGATTCGCACAATAATCCCCTTCCCATCCCGGTAGTTTATAACACTGAACGGTGTGTCGCAGAAAAGATCGGCCTGGTAGACATTTATCACCAAATTTAAATCTGTGAGCAATTAAGAAACTTAAAGCTTAGCGCCATAAAAGGACTTGCAAAAATTGAAAATTTGATTTCAAAGAAAATTTTATATTTGTTCTTCAATTTTTCAACAGTAAACGTTTATTCGATAGAAAAAAAAATTTTTTTCTAATTGTTTCATTCTCAAATTATCGACATAGACCGCAAGTGAACCGACATTTAACTCGCATAACAGTTCCATAATCGCCAATACTGCAAAGATAGCTATACTTTGGGCAGTCGGCATGCTCATCACGACAGCTTCCAGCAGGCGATACTGTTGTAAATAGAACTATTATTAGGTTTCTGCACGATTTTAAAGATGAAAGCATAGTGGTATATACGAATATTGTAAACAATTTAAAAATAAAGATGAATTTTGTCAAAATAAGTTCTTACATTGCTGTCAGTTTGATACTCTATTTAAAAAAAAAACTGAAAATGATTTCGAAGAATATTCGATTACTTTTTGAGCAATGCAACATCGTTTCACCTTTTTATCATTTTTATCATTTTCCATTAATTTTTGCAAGAATTAAAGATATTATAAAAGTTTTAGGCATTTTTTTATAATATTTTTTAGAAATTTGTAATGGCATTAGTTTCTTAATATCATTTTTATAATAATGGAAAATTTTTGTCCCATTAACCTTCGAAAATTATCACTCACTTGTTTGATTTGTAAGGCAGTCTCGTGAGAAGCAGGTTTTCTGGC